TGCCTCTTCTCAACACCCAGTTCCACTTCTTTCTTACACTTATTGTCGTATTGTCGTCTTGTTTCTTACTTAGTCGGTTGCTTATCTTCTTGTCCCTTTCAACTTCTCATCACATCATTTCCTGCTCTTGACTTTCTAATACATTGTTTGCTTTTGCTAAAAACATAAATTGATTTGCTTTCTTTCGATACACTGTTAGGTTTTCCTCTTTGTCTTGGCTGCCAGGAAACAATTTTTTTTTCTTAATTCAATGTTTGTCTTAATTTCAGTGTGTTTTCTTTAGATTAGGGTTTTTTTCTCCCCTTTCCTCTTCCTTCACTGCATGAATTGCTTCAAATTCTTTTCCTAAGTAGATATACTACAGAAAAATAGAATGTTTCCAGCATCCTCGTCCTAGGATCTTCTGGCATTTCCTCTGCATCATTGTACCTTTTCCTAGTCACCTTTTCCCCTTGAGGCCAGACATGTTTCTCTTTGTTATATCTGTTCTCTTTCACTGTCTCCTTTCCTCATTTGCTTTATTTATTGATTGATTGATTGATTGATTGATTGTTCTCCACTCTGCAAATTGCAGTGTCTTCTGTTACTCTGAGTCTGCCATTAGCCACTTACACTCTGTCCCCGACTTGGGTTCCTTTCTTTTGTAAAGTCCTTTTGTTCACTTTCCACATTTGGCCCATTTGTTTCTGCCCTCATCCCCTGTTTTGTCTTTCCTCTTCTTCTATCTCCTTCTGTATGGGCTAATTACACCTCAACTGTGCTTAAAGTGGACTGCAGAAAATTGACTTCTGTTGTTCATCTTTTGTTGATTTACTTTGCCATGCTTAAGGGTGACTCTTGCAAAACTGTAGCAATGTTTTTACAACTTTAAGATGTTGGTTTGGTTTCCACCAGCGTCCACCCCAGAGGAATTAACAAATGAATCACCAGTTTATTATTCTAATTAACGCATGTTCTTTGGTTACAGGGTTCATTAGTAGCATTGTTAATCTGTCTTCAGTATGCCGTTAACAAACCATAGAGGGAGGGGGTTGACTGGAACTAGTTAATCCTTTTTGGCTTGTAGACTGTGTGGGGGGAAAGTTTATTATTTCTTCCATTTCTATTCTAAATATTTATTTTGTATTCTCATGTTCTATTTTAGTTTTCTATAGCGTCTCATGTTTTGATATGCTAACTAAACTGAAAAGTTTAAAGAGGAAACATTTTATGTTCAGTGATTTATTTTCCATATCCTAGCCTGATTAAGATTTATAATGTTATGATGGTTGCAGTGATTGTGAAGTGCCTATAAAGCAATTAACCTCAATGAACTTGAGCGAGATAGGGCAAACCAAGCTGTTCAGAATATCACCTTTGGACTCAAAGAATTGTACAAAGCCTTTTGTTAGTTGTGAGATTTTGAGCGAGTTACTCATACTCTCTCTGTCCCATCTGCAATATGGGAATTATAATAATACCTACGTTATAGGAGAGTTGTGAAAATTAAATGAAATCTTATGTGTAAACTACTTAGCACAATGTATTATTTATACTGTTCCTAATACAAATGATAATTTACGTGTTCTTATCTGCTAACTACAGGCCATTAAGTGATTTCACTAATTTAGCCTTCACTGCACAAACATTCACAAAGTGATTGCTATATAGGAAGTACTCTTTGATTCTATAAGGCAGAAGGGGTGCCTGGACCCAGGACATATTTCTGCTGCATGAAAACCACTCTTTGCCAATATCTTTATGTGGGTAATAATGCCTATTCATTAGATAGTTATGAACATCAAATTTAATGGGAAAGCCTCTGTTAAAGTTTTTAGCATAGTGTCTGGTACAGAGCAGGCTCTCAAAAAATTATAGATGTAATCCATAATGGCTACAGTAATGGTGGAAGAAGGTGAGAATGTGATGGAGGTTGTACATGGTTGTCCCTGCTCCCAAGGTGAGATAAGAAGGTGAGTAAATCGTAGCTGTTCAGCCTGTAAAGAGATGTGTGCAGATCACAGCTAGATTGCAAGGATTGTGGAAGACATGAAGGGAGCCCAGACCCGTGTTTGGGTGGAGAGGTGACGTATGGGCAGATAGGTGGCAGCTTTTCCTAGTGATGGGTTACAGGTGAGAGCAGAATCTCTGGGGGAGAGGCAGGAGTCTGGATTAAGGCAATGGGAATGGAAAGGAAGCTAGATAAGTGTGTCTGTAAAATATTTAAGATGAGACAGTCCCTAATTGACCATTAGAAGTCTAGGTTGACCGCCAGGTCTCTGGCATGATCTGGGGAGATATTCAGGCCATTAACCACCGTGGGAAACAGGGATCGGTGGAGCTGTGCTTTGAGCTGAATGTATGAATCATTTGACTCTGTAAATCAAAAGAGGACTCAGAATGGGAGGCCTGGGAATCACCAGCATTGGGGTCTGTGAGACCATCCAGGAAGAGAAGAGAGAAGCGAAGAGGAGAGCCAGGAAAAAACCCTGGAGCTGCAGGCATTTCAGGGGCAGGCAGATGAAGAGGATTCAGGGAAGGAAACTGGAAAGGACTCGTGAGAGAAAAAGGAGAAGAAAGCTGCGTGGTAGGGGAGCCAAGGCAAGAAAGCCTAGAGAACATGGACATGGGTCATGCAGCCAAGAGGTTGAGTGGGAAAAGGCCCAAAAGTTCCCCTTAGCTTTACCTCTGGGAGGATCACTGGAGACCTTGGCCTCTGTGGGGCTTGTGATGTGGTGAAGGCAGCAGCAGCCTAGCTGAACGGAGTTGAAGAGTGAACAGGAGGGGAACAAGGGGAAAGAGTGAAAAAGCAACCCTGCAGGAATCCGGTTAGTACGGAGGTGGAGCTCTTTGGGACAGAAGAGGGTCACGTGCTTGTGTAACTGGAAAAGTGACAGGTAGGAGAATGACCATGGAGAGTCATGAGTTGAAACCTCAGGCAAAAGAGGGCAACTCTGATGGTCCCTGCACACGGTCCCCGGGGACACAGGGAGGGGGAGCCTGAGTGCAGAGAAGGAGCCGTCCTCCTCTGAGACCCCAGCAGGAAGCTTCAGGACGGATGTGGGATGTCCAGGGGGCTCATGTCTGGTGGTTTCTACTGTGCCTGGGAAGCTGGAGAGAAGGGCTGGGAGGTCCTCTGCTGAGAGTGAGTGAGGACAGAGAAGCGGAGGCGCCAGGCGGCTTGAGGAGATGCCTGGGACCTGACCAGCCAGGTGGGGAGGTGAAAGGCCGCCGAGGGAGAAGGGAGCCGGTGAGAGCATGAATAGCACCGAGGCCCCAGAATGCACATGGGAATGCAGACTCGGTAGCTCAGGGGAGGAGTCAGCTCACTCACTCATTCAGCACATGTCGGAGCTCCCCCCATGTACTGAGTGCTGTTATCCCCCCTCCCACCTTACACTTTAGCTATTTTGAACTCTGTAGTCTCCCCAGTGGTCCACACTCATCTGTTCCTGTGGGATTTTGTACATGTGGCCCGCTGTGCCTGCAGTACCCTTCTTGGCCCTCTTCTGCCCTTTCCTCCCCTTTGCCAGAATAACACAACTTTGGGTCTCATTTGCTCTTTCCCCAAGGAAGCCTTTGCTAACCTTCTACTGCCACCTAGAGCCAGCGTAACGTGGGGGCCCTGCTTCTAGGCCAAGCACCCCGCTTACCTCTGTTGTGATATATCAAGCTCCTGAAATGGCTTGTGTCCTTGTCTGGCATGTGCTTGGCATGCTAGAAAAGTTTTTATCCCAGATTTTTATCTCAGCACAGTAGGCGAGTGTGAAGTTAATTGAGGTCTGGGTGTGTATTGGGCAGTTGCGATCAGAGGCCAAGGAGTCGGAGACTTGAGGATAGAGAGACATTGAAATTGTCTGTGGGAAGTATATAGTCAGGAGGGGCCAGACAGACTTTGAGAAACGGAAGAATGAACAGACTGAAGATTTTGTTGTGGTCAAAGACCAAGTTCAGTAGATGCTGAAGAGGTTGAAGGGCGGGCAGCTGTGGGACCCGAGAGTAATGGAAGACTGCGGTCTGAGGTGTCTAGGGTGGAGCAGTTAAGCATGAAGACTAGGTCCAGGGAATGCCCAGGGGAAGGAATGGCTGAAGTTGGTTGATGATCAATTTTAAGTTGTCTAGAGTTGAGAGATTAATGCGTGTATGTGTATTTGTGTGTGCGCGGGCACGTGCTTGGAGTGGTAGGGGTGTTGAGTGGCCCTCCTTAGGGGTTCTGAAGCCACCCAAGATATAGACAGGGCTGGTAAAGGTCTGAAAATGACCAGAGACCAGAAGGGAGAGGGATGACACTGACAAATGGCAGGAGCCTCAAAGGAGGTGTGAAGGGGTTGCCAGGGGGAGTCTTGCCTTAGGGATCTGGGAAAATGCTGACAGGGTGGCCAGTCTCCATACCATTGCCCATGTTGGAGAGCAGACATCCACCTCCTGTGAGTAAGGGATGCTGTACCTTCTTGATTCCAGGAAATGGAGGGGGTGGGCCAGGTGGACATTTTTGGAGAGAAGTTAACACTCTCTCACCTCTATTCCTTCTTAGGTCTTCTATAAAAAATTGCAACTTTGTTCAGAAAAGTAAATCTATTTCCCCCATTTTGTGAACAGGTTGGTTGGTGTGGATGAATGAAACATTAAGATGTGAAATTTTCAAATTCATCAATTTGTGATAACAACTGCCATTTATTGGGAACACTTGCTGTGTTCTAGACATCATGCTAAGAACTTTATGTTCACAATTGTTTTTTTATCCTCTCTAAAACACTAAGAAAAAGTAGTACCATATCCTATTTAGAGATGAAGCTCAGAGAAACCTTTATAAAATTTATATAAAGTTATCTGTCCAAAATGGTAGCTCTGGGGTTCCAACCAAGCCTGCCCAGCTGTGCAGTATCTCCCTGTGAGTGGTACTTGCTTCTCTGGGATAGTGGAAATTTGGGAGGAAAGAAACTTTACAATAGCACAAGCCCATGTACTTATGTCCTCAGTACCAGCAGCCTGAGCAGCACTGGAAGCTCCTGAATTAACATAGAAGAACTGAAAGGGTACTTTGCCATCACAGTCCATGTATTGGTTAGTTTTGTTAGTGTGGCTGATGTGACTACTGTGTTTTGTGTCCTCGTACTGATGTTAGTGTTAATGTGTTGGTCATTATGGAGTTGAAGGCAGCACAAACAGAGCAGCACTAACCCATCTGCTATCTTTTCTACCTGTCATTTTTTGGGAAAGGGCATGTTGGGCCATCACTGGTCCATGGTGTCTATAGATTAAGGGCCAACCTCCTCCTAGAAATGGTTTTTACCCTTTTAATAAATCTTATAAATTGTGTGAATTCAGCAAAATCAACCAAAAGGAATTGAACTGAGGACCTGTTTTCTCCAGCAAGAATATCAGATTTAGGGAAGTAATTGCCTTAGTCTGATGTCACCATCCTTTGGGGTGTGGGCAGGCAGTCAAGTGTAGTGGTTAGAACTGCCCTGGGGTCAGACAGATAAGGGTTTGTGTTGGGGCTCTGTCTCATCCTACCTATGCGGTTTCAGCCAAGTTAACTTCAGTGTCATTGAGCCTTGGTTTCTTCATTTGTAAAACAGAGCTAAGAGGACCTACCTCAGGACTGTCAAAAGGAATGAGTTGACCCACTGAGAGCTCTTAGCCGAGTGCTTAGAGCAGAGAAGCATTCACTCATCAGAGCCATCGCCACTGATAACTGACGCTTCTTCCACTGCTACCGTGAATACGAATTCCCTTTGAATACTAGTGCAGGCAACCACTTGCAAGTTCAGAGGCAATACACTGATTTGATAGCTATTTCTCAATCGTATGTAATATGTGTGAGTCTTCAACACAGAATTTTCTGGGAGGCTGGTAAATTCTGAAGGGCTTAGCTTCCAGATACATGATATAATAAATAAATGCTAGATATGATGAGGTGGGTTATTTCTTTAAAGTCTAATGGAAGTCCTTTCTTTGTCCATCTCTCTGGTTTTTTGTTTTTTGTGTGTGTGGTTTTTTTTCCCCTCCTCAGGAGGAATTTGATGGGGTCCTGAGAGAGGAGGTTGTGGCTGAGAAACTCTACCAGCTGGGGCGCTCGGGCTCCGGGACTGAGCAGGTCTACCTCAGTCTAACGTTATCAGTGAGTATGACAAGATCACCGTGGCTACATCTTGACACTGGTTGGACCATATCCACTTTCTCTGGTACTCATAGCTTTTTTGGTGGCCCCAGATCTCAGAGCCTTGCATTTGATGGAGAATGGCTAAAAGAATTATTTCTCTTTGACATCAAAGAGCCCTGGCCAATCCCGTAATCAACCCCCTCAAGTTCGTTTGTTTTCATTCCCTTCACAGTCTATTTCTTTCATCTTAAGTAGTCTATTTTATAGTAATCAGTGCTTTCCTTCCAGGAGGTTGAATTTGATTCTGTAAAACCAATCAAAAATTCCTTAAGAATTTTCTCTCTGATCAGTGCCAGGACTGAAATTTTGTATCTGAATCCAAGGGAATAAAGTCTTTGGGTATTGACTTTCCCCACTGAGTACATCAAGAAATAAGTAGCTTTTGAGCTATAGCACACTTTCTAAAAGATACCCATTATGAAAGAAAAAAATGTATTGTTATTCATCAATTTTCAAGATTTCAATACTAGACCAGAATCTTGGCTCTAATTTTATCATAAGAGAAGCTGTTAGAGCAGAGTATTCAAAGTATTTCAGCTTCTTTCCTTCTTTTGTTTCTCTGTAGTCCTAGAAAAACAATTTAACTCTTTTTGCCTCCTTATATTGTAAAGCATTAAATATTCCTTGGAGGTTGACAGAGTAAATGCAGATACATAGGTTAAAAAAACACACTGAAATTTTGCTATAGCACCTGAATTTGGCTCAAAGCATATGTAATTCACAGCAAGGCTGTTTTGCCTTGGACTTGAACTGTACACTGTCCAAGAGATGTTAAGCTCTTCTCACCCATGCCGGTTCCATGACGTGTCCTTTGAGACCAGCATACAAAGACTCTAATCTTTTGCTATTATCACCTTATAATCTTTTACAGATGACTCAGCCAGTCAGGCATTAACATACAGGGAGCACCGTGTGTGCCCTGCACTGTGTTAGGCATTGGAATGATAGATAATTCCAGCACCCAGTACATCCCCATGCAAGTCCCTTTCAGTCAATACTCTACTTATATACGTAGTGGTATGCCTTAAATTGATCTCCCAAAAGAGCACAGTCCTTTAAATCTGATTTCAGCTAGATGGTCCGAAGCTTAACCTATTTTCCCACTGACCTCCTTACATTTAAGATATTACGTGTTGAATTACTTTGCCCTAATAACCTGTTTTACTGAATACACTTTCCTAGGGTTGGCTAGTTTGGTGATTTTTTTTCCTCTTTATATCTTACTTACCTTACCTTTTTTTTTTTTAACTTTTGCTTATTACTTGTGTACATAGTTTCTCCCACCGAAGTCATGTTTCTTAAGGGCAGATATAGCTCTAATCCATCACTGTACGTACTTCTCATCTTACCAAGCATAATGCCTTGTACATAGTAGGTCTTCGGTAGTTTTCTTACTGTTCCAGCAGCCTTCATTAAACATTCTTATATAAGAAATGTTTGAGACATTGCTTATGATAACACTTCATTGATTGGTCTTTTCTGACTCTTGGCACCACAACATAAGCCAGTGACATGAGTCTTTGTTCCAAGGGACCAAATTCCCCTCCCACCCCTCTAGGAGTTCACCAGAAGCAAGATTTCATGGAAAGGATCCTGGACAAGGGCTCAGGAGACCTGGGGCTCCTTCTCCATCACTAACTTGCTAAGTGATTTTAGGCAATTTATGTACCTCTCTGGCCCTCACCTGCCCCGTCTCTAAATTGGATAATCTGCCCTGCACAGCTTTGTTTGATCAGATGAGATTATTGTGAGAGAGCTTTGAAAAGGAACCCTGGGAAAGCGTAGGAGATATTGTTTCTAATGATCTCCCTGATTAGGTGTAAACTCTTTCAACCTTTCATTTGAATTCTAGGCATTTGCTTTTTCTTTTCTTCTACTAGATAAAGGCTTGGACTTTATTGCTTTTATGTGTGTGTGTGTTTTTAAAAAAGTGTAAAACTCTGCTCTAAAGGTCTTCATGAACACTGCTTTAATTTGCCTTTTCATGTCGTATTTGTTCTCCCCAACAACACTAATTTTCCGAGCTATTATTTCCTTCAGAAGAATGCATTTTCTGTTGGGGTTTGTAGTCTATTTTGAGAGCATATTAGTAATAGGCTTCAGGTTTTGTTCTCTTCTATTATACTTTCGAAGGAAATTCCAGATTTCATCCTATCAACTTTTACTTCCAGATGTTTCGAGAAGTCTGAATACTAATCTGTTAAAGCAACATTAAAGTCCTTTACCTTTTGTTTTCTTAGGGTCTCGATTTAATTGATATTAGCATCCTCTGTGGATACGTTCACCTACACAAGTTGGATCTTTCAGTAAATAAAATTGAAGGTATGTAATTATCATCCTAGTAAATTGATGGATCGCTGAACTGTTTGAAAATTTAAGCTTTGCAGAATGCAATGTACTTTAATACTACCAAACTAGACATAAGTGCTATTGTGGATCAGTTTACATATTGATCCTCTGTTTTCCATGACGATGAGTAAAGAAAAAGGCAGAGGTCAGCAGACATGCGGCATTACGCTGTGGTTGAGACGTACTCAGTGACATTGAAGACTATCAGATGGAATGTTTGCTTTGCTCTTTCCTTTTAAGAGATGGATCATTACTTCTTTAATGCTTTCTGAATATTGGATGACTCCCTTTTCTTTCCCCCGATTAGTTTATTCAATGTAGTTGAATTAGTCCTCTCCCCACCCCCTTAATGGATTCTTTTCTTTATTTTGTATTTGCATCTACATCTTAATCCTGGCTAGCTGCTTCTCTTCTTACTTGAGCACCAGGGATTCCAAATTTATTTTTTCCCCCTCTCTTTGTTGTCTCTATATAGCTAGTTGATTCTTTCAAGTCTCAGTCTGCCACTTGTAATTCTGTATAAGGTGTCTAATATGATACCTTGCTTACATTTAATGAAATTAGTCACGTTTTCTTCAAACTTGATCCTTGTTTCTAATTTTCTGATCTTATTTGAAATTTCCGACCTGCTTCTTCCTTCACAGATAATCTTTCTACGCGCTTCTTTAGCTTTTTTAATGACGATTAAGTGTTGCTGCTGGTCTTCTTTGATTCATTTTCTGATTTCTTCCTCTCATCTGACTGCAATAATTAAAATTCACTCTTTCTTTTCAATGGCTAAGAAACATGCAGGCAGATTTTAATTCTTCAAATGCTACTGATTTTCAGAGGTTTTTAATTTTTTTTCTGGGTTCATAAAACTTTTTTAATGGAAAATTACAAACGTGCACAAGTAGAGTGGTTTGTAATGAATATTCAGGTTCAACAGTTATCAGCCTGTGGCCCGTCTTGCTTGACCCATCCTTCCCTGCCCACCTTCCTATGGTTATTTTAAAGCAAATCCCGGATATCATATCATCAGAAAGACCTCTTAGCATTACTGGCAGGAGCTCTCCCCACACTCCACACCTGCAAGGCTGGTTTCATTTACTGGGTGAGGGATTGCAGAGTGCGAGAGACTTCGACGATCTTCAGTGCTCTTGAGCAAGCAGTCCCCAGTAGCAAATGAAGCTTTCCTCATCAGATGTCTCCTTCAGTGTTTTATGGCTCCTTTTATTAACTCATCAAGTGTTTGAGAACCTCCTGCGTGTAAGGTACAGTATTTTTTTTTCCCCAAGAGAACAGCTTTATTGATGACCTGATACAGACTAGATTTCAGCTTGCACCAGAATTACCTGGAGGGGGCCAGTTTAAACGTGGTTGCCTGTGCCCCACCCTCAGGCTTTCTGACTCAGTAGATCTGGGGTGAGGCTTGAGAATTTGCATTTCTAACTAGTTCCCTGTGAAACCTAGGCTGCTGGTCCAGGATCACAGTTTGAGAACCACGGATGTAGATGTGAGGAGCTCCTGCCATCTGGTGGACACGGAGGTCACTACACTGAGTAAGGAGAGTGAGAAGCCCAGCAACCCAGGCAGTGGGCTTTTCCTATCACAGTGATTGGAGACGTACTTGCCATGCAAGCGTAGCTGCTGCTTCTGTTTCAAGACAGAGCTCCATGGGACAGCACTTAACCTGCCCCCTGGGAGATCAGCTCCAAGGGGGTGTGAGGGCCCGTGGAGTTAAGAGGGTAGAGACCACTGGCGATAGACGTCCAGCTGAGCTCGGATGGACAAATAGGCAAAACCTGTAAAGCAGTTATAGTTTCCCCTTAAGTTTCCTCTCACAGGCAGCCTTTCTGGATTTGCTCCTGTCACTGTCTCAATGTATGGTCCCTCCTAGAACAATTTCATAAAATTAACAGGCTAAAGGAGGGTATGGTTTAGACCAGAGAAATGCAGTAGAAATTGGTGGGGATCTTCTGGCTTCAGCGACCTTGAGAAGGAAGGATGTTGGGGGAATGGGGCGGGGGCCCCTCACATTGCTGGCTCCAGCTGCTCAGCCCTGCTTCCTTCCCCCCATCGGGGTGTGTCTTCGTCACCTGGTAAGAGGGAGAAGCACTTTGCTTGGCCTCAGGTGTGGAGGCTCCGTTCTCCTGCCAGAGGCCATCTTCTGAGGGGCTGCGATTCAGCGATTCTGGAATGACAAGACAGGTGGAAAAGCAAGTTACTGATAGCGATGGGCTGTAAATCCTCATCATGTGATTCTTCCTGAGACTTTCCCTAATTCCCCTGCTGCCCCGAAGTCCGTCTGCTGTAAAGGGGCAGAGAAAGGCAGGCGGCACAGTGCTTCACCGTTTTTATGTTTTATATGCAATTTCATGAACTTTTATTAGCACAGTAGTCCTTTCCTTAGTATTTCTAGGTTCAGAATATTGGCTTTGGGATAAAATGCAAAACACGGACATGCTTTTGAACCAGTCCAGAGTCAAAGTAAAATAATAACAATAATTTAAATCACTTCAAATAATGAATGAGTTTTAAGATTAAGTCCATCTAAAGCAAAATTTAATTGATAACAAAGAATTAATTGTGGCATTTTCAGCCTTTCCGAAAAGACCTAATTCAGTGATTTAGGGGCTAATTATCCAGAGGATTATCGAAGGTTTTAGTTTCTCCAAGGATGGCAGGCACTCTTTGAAGCATTGACTGTGTGCAGCTCGTGAGAGAGTGAGCTGGGACACCGAGGAGGCCTGAGTCATTTCTTGCTTGGCTGTGCTTGCAACTGGCATAATTTAAAAAGTGTTCTGATGTAATGTATGCTGTTTTTAATGACTTTGTCT